ACCAGATTCCAAAGCCTTGGAGCTGAGCCGCGCCAGCTGTTCGCATTCGGGTTCATCACCGCGGAGCTGTGCAATCTTCAATGATGTCCCCGGCACTTGGTACAGCACCGCACCATTGCACAATGCAATGTCAACGAGGCCGGAATCATGCACTGAAGCCACTGCACCCAGTTCATCTTTGAAATCTTGATACGGCGGCGTGTCAGTCACGGTAACTGCTTGACCTAGGGCAGGGCGCCAGCGAACTGTGGTCGCAGGAAGTCGAGCCGAAGGAACTGGCACCTGGGCTAGAGAAGCAAGTGATTGCATCAACTCCGTCGGGGCTGTCCCATGTGTGCCAACATTGCCGTCCTCACGCGGTGGTATCACACCTCCTGGAATCTGATCGTCAGCGGTATCTTCAGCGCGCCTGCTCGGCTGAGTGAGTTGCAACTCGGCAGGGTCGAACTTATACCTGCGCAACAGCTCACCTACCAGCGGAAAAATTCCAATGCCGCACACCAAGCCGAGTCGCTGGCGACCGGTCCAGGTCCCGTATTGGATGGCAGTGATGCATAAAACTGCCAACAACCAGGATATCCCGATAGCTCTCAAACGCCATTTGGCCTGCGGCCAAATCTGGCTTGCTCGCAATGCTTCCAGCAATTCTGCACATGACTCTTGCCAAGAATCCTCATCTGCTGACAAACATGGGAGACGCGTCGCTGATTGAGTGCCCTGGGTCGCACATGACCACAGCTCCCACATCAGCGAACTGAAATCTTCGACATCCCAATCAATCTCGCATGGTTGCGTCAACCCTCCAAGGCCGCTCAGTGCAGCTGAGAAAGCTGACCGCTCTTCTTCGAGATTGGACGGCCGCCTCTTTCCCATTTCTTGTCTGGCAAGTCGCACGGCCTTGTCAAGTACTGCATCGGTTTGGTCCGCCAAGTCCCGACTTAGCAGAACTTGACGTAAGGCAGCACGAGTGCTGCCGGCAACTCTCATGGCAGTGAGCTGTCTAACGACTTACCCCACCCCGTTGGAGAGCTTGAAAAAGGCTTCACATGAAAATCTCATGTGAGGCTGAAACTCACACACTCATCACATTGCAGCAAAACGATCTCCTGTGCACAAGGGCTTGTTGAGGCATTTGCTGCCCCGCCCTGGTCTGAGACGCTAAAACTCCGCAGCAACATAAACCATCGTGCAAGCACTAACTCAGGCAAGCTGTATAAGTCTACACAAACCAGCTCGCAAAACTGTTCGTGCCATGGGTGGTTCCCACCCGTCTATGCAGTCAAGGAAGGTGTCGGAAGGTGATGAGACAATGCTTTGAGCGATCTCTGCTGCAGACTGGGGCAGCTGCTGTACTGTCTGCCACAGCTTGCGCCGCTTGAGACAGTGTTTGTTGGTCCGCGGCGGCGCTGAAGGTGCAGACACCCTCAACGAAGGCGCCACCACCGCTAGAGACGACGGAGATCCAGGTGGAGGAGGAGGCCTCGCCATGCTGCCCGAGGTTGGTGCAGGCAGCGGTGGAGCCGGTTCCCACACCCAAGGTGGCGGTGGCGGAGAGCAGGAGGAGGAGCCGGACCGGCGGCCATGGCGAATGGCGCATGCAGCGCTGTACCGCCACACGACGAAGAAAAAGATGGAAACCAGATGCAACGATGGAACACTTGCTTAGCTTGTACATGTATTGCTCCACGGCAGCTACATGTAGTAGAAGACTGATCGCTCGCGTAATTCGCGTAGCATGTCCATGCGAAGCCACCGTTAGTCTAGTATCATCATGAAAAATCGAACGGATCTCTTCATGGGGGCTGCAAGGTCCAGCAGGATGAGGCGACACGTGTCTGACTAGTTTCCGCCGGGCCGGCGCCGCGTTGGTCGTAACGTTGCTTTGGCGGCCATGAACCTCGATGTGCCTATCCACGACGGCCGGCGCATCGAGGTCGTATGCAAAGGCCTCCCGCTCTGGCATGGTGCCCAGCTTGCCGTCGACGCGACGCTGGTTAGCCCTGTTTCTCGGGATGGCAGACCACACCCCGGCACAGAGACACAGCCAGGCCTTGCTGTGCGCACAGCTGCCAGGCGCAAACGCAGGCAAACCTATCCCGTCCGTTTCAGGACTCCCATGTGTTTTGCTTGAAAAATTCCGCTGCCGTTTCGACGACTTTCGGTCAAAACAATCCATGGGCATGCTGAGGATCGTGAGGCCGTCATGTAACGGGACCCAAATCTCGATGGCATGGTGCATGTAACGTCACCTTTGGAGGCCTTCAACCAAATGGCAACGCTTGCATGATCGGATTATTGTGCTCGAAAAACGTTGCGCTGCTTGAGCTGTCAACTGGTGGACGAAACCAAACTGGAGTGCGTCTCTCTCTCTCTCTCTCTCTCGCTTAGGAGCTGCAGTGAAATGTGCTGCAACGTTTTCACGTGTGAAGCTTGACGTATGATGCGTCGGTTATCCGACGATGCAGGAAATGAAGCGAGTAGCATCGCACTGCATTCTTTTGCGTGCTGCTCCAGGGTCCTGTGGAGCAATTATATCAGCATTTGCTTGGGCGGCGAGCAGATACCAGAGTCCACATCAGAGTTTTTGCAAGCACATCTGGACCTTGTGCACTGAGACGAAGGGATGGCTCTCGGCTTGGACGCATGATCATTTCAGTATGGTCTTCTATTTCTTTTTGGTTCCGTTTAGACCCGCTTTGTTCCGCTCTCCTCAAAAGCGTCGATGTGGTTGGGTTTTTCATCAAGCAGTTGGAACAGAGCCTCCAATTGTGTTGGTGACAGCCCATTCACAGTTGACGCCGCTGCTCTTGTTTAGATCTCTAGGTTGGGTTTCTCTGTGTCCTTGAAATGCGCGACTGTTGAGCATGTGCTTGAACAGCAGTGACGATTAGTCGTTGTTTCGATGCATAGATGAGCGATTACACTGCTGGCCCCATGAAGCCATTTTGGCTGTTCCTTTCTTGGCAAGAGGGTTGGCTTCCGGACGCGCTGCTGCAGGTGAAGGACCTCGTATGGGAATTCTTGCACTGATTGGAAGTGTTTTGATTGTAAGTATGCGTGCCTATTTCTGCTTTGGTTGAATTTTGACTGAGCTTCGTCCTGAGTTTAGCCTGCGACCTTTTGTATGTACCTGAGTGTAGTCCGCTGGCAATGGAGACACTTTTTTCTTTGTTGCAAAACATGCTTATCGCTATGATCAGTCTCCAGCGACAGCCCCATCGGACGAAGACAACGACGGAGTTTTTGACGAAACTTGGCTTCGATCGTGTGGTGGTGCATGCTGCTATAGACGGGCAGGAGCTGCTTGCACACGGTGGCAGATGCCGTCTGCTGAAAGGAACCTGGAGGCTGTCACATGATGAGGTGGTCGATGGCGTGCGCACGAGAATCACGAGACACCTGCGAGCCTCTAAACTGTCCACGCAAGGCGGCACGGAGGTTTGGTCACAATATGGCTGTGCTCGTAGCCATCTCGCTGTTCTTGAACAGGTCAAGAGCAAAATTCTTGAAGAACCCTTCGTGCTAGTTGTTGAGGATGACCTAGCGCTAGGCCCTGGAGTGACTGATTCCAACCACTTCCTCTCCCAACTCAGCAGCAATCTTTGCACTCTTGCCGATGTTTACCCTCAGTGGAGTTGTGTTCTTCTTGGGGGCAATGCAGTATTCAGCCACAACGGTATCAATTGTCCATCAAGTATCCCTGCATTTCGTTGTGGAGACGACGTGATGCAAGCTCATGCCTACCTCTGGCGACAGACCCATGAAACGAATGCTATTCTTGACCATGTTGTGAAGCTGCTGAAAAAGGGGTTCATGAGCGACAATGCCTTGGCATTGACCATGAAGCAGTTTCCTGGTCGTTTCTTTGTCTTTGATCCCGCGCTCATTGTTCAAGACCCGTCAGTCCGATCAAACTTACAGCTGGTCTCCAAGAAGGGAGGCCAGTCCGGATACAATCAGGCGCACTCTTTCTTGAGACAGAAGAGCAAGAGCAAAACTGCAAGCGTTGCCAGACAGCAACTTCCTCCTAAATGTCGCGCAAATCTCGGCAAAGACCGTCGTGGTATTGCGCCCATCCGCAAAACGAGCCTTCAAAAGGCACGCAAAGAAGTCGGGTGCAAAGGTGGTTCTAAGTTAGCGGGGAATGGCTCGTCGGCCACAGACATCAAGCGAAGATCTTCGTTGCTGCTTAAGCATGCAACTTCCAAAGGTGTGTTTCCTTCTCGGAATTTTTCGCATCAGAAGTGGAAGATTAGCAAGCCTGTGTGGGGACGTGTTCGCCTGGAGTTTCTTAGTCGAACTGCATTGTGACCCGATGCATTAGCATTTTTCTGAGTGCAGTTTCTGGCTTTGCAAGTAGCCAGTGCTTCAGCTGCATTCCTGATACTTTGCTTCTGCATTGCTCTGGTATTCTCATGTTGTTGTGTTACTTCTCTTTTTCGCGATCTACAGCTTTGGAATGCCCACTGACACTGCTGCTTGAAGCAACACCATCTTTCGTGTCAGCTTGCCAAATGGCAAGATTTGCAGCACGCGTACCCAGCTGTTAATGGACAAAAGAATTCCGACCCACCAATCACAGGATTCCTGTTGGTTGTGTGAGTGTCCAATTGGGTGGCACCTGCCCTTGGGCGATGCATCGATATCAGAGTGAAGTTCTACCTGCGGCATGTGTGACATGGCGGAGCACTGTTAGCTGCAGGACCTGTGCCTCGGTGGGCATCCAGCTGCATTCAGGCTGGCGGCAGTTGTAGAAGGTCCTCGACCAGTTCAGTGCATGGAGTGCAACGTCTCGAGTCAATCGCGGGTTTGAGCTTGGGTTAACCTTCTGCTTCGGTTGGTGTAGGAGGGCGTGAGACTATTGGCTGTGCATTGGAAGAGCTTCATGTGAACCTCAGTGACAGCGCTGATGATGGAGAATAGTATATTGCAGGACGTGATCTCGGCTGGTTCCAGCGCAGGACATGGTCTTGCAAAGGATCTCTTGCTCTGGAGACGTGGGACAGCCTTTGAATTTTGCCAGCTATATTTTTGACAAGCTGCTCACCAATTCACCGATTGTTGGCGATTTATCTCATAAATACAATCCGTAGGCTTTCTTGATTGGGCTTCAAGATGATCTTTGTGCTGTTAGCGCATGAACTTGAACCTTGTGTTTTCCACAAAGATGAGTTGCGATGGACGGATCTCGCGTAAGGACATGTGTCTCCTGACTTCTTGGGCCTCCTTTTGTTTTTTCTAGATGGTGCCTTAAGCAAAGCCGCCTTTCTGTCCTTTTTCGTTGCCTTGCTTTGCTTTCTTTTGTGACTTCAGTCCTCCTTTTGCCGCTTGTTTTCGTCTCCCTTGGCCTGGTGCTTTAACCAAACCCACCTCAATTGACCTCTGTTTGCTGTTCCTGCACCCTGCTGGTGTTGGTGCCTTAAGCAAAGCCGCCTTGGATGTATTGGTGGATGTGATCTCTTCTGTGCGTTCAGTGATGACCTTGCTACACTCATCACCGGCTTCTGTGGCTTGATGTTCCTGCAAATCTGTGGTCGGTATTCACAATTTCGCCATCCTGTTACACATTCCATGGATTCTGTGACTCACCAATCGCAGGCTTGCCCTGCTGGTTGTGTGTGCACACTCTGAAGAGCATTCCGATTGATCCTGTGAGATGACATTCGCATGAAGAGCAAACACCAAAGCAGCGGTACCACATGTGATGAAGAGAAGTTTCTTGCAAGACGTGGCTCAGCAATGGAAGCTATTCAATTCTTGAAGGCCTTCGGAGTCGATGTGGAGAGAAGTGGGCAGATGATCCTTCAGAAGAAAGCCCGCATGCAAGAGCAATTGGCTCGGGGAGGGCGCAAACGTGATGTTCTGCGCTCACACT